GTGATTCCCCTAAATAATGACCTTGTATGTGCATTGTATATACTTATATACATTTGAGCTGACTCTTCCAGCTAGAGTATAAGTTCCTCAAGACCAGACTACTTCACTTTTGTCTTTGGAGTCTCTAAGCCTAACACAGTGTCTGGCACATAGTAGGTGCTTTAGAAGCGCTTGTTGATTTTCTTATCTCTTACCAGTCCCTGAGTCCAGTATCTTGATGCCTCCCAGCTGTTCTGGCCCCTTGCTCAACCTTCATCTGTGACCCCTCTTCCTCATATCCAACATCAACCCTCTCTCCCACCACTGGAACTATTCCAGGCTTGGAGGGAGGTGAGGAGGAAGAGAATAACCAAAGGGCAGTGGCACAGGGAATAGAGTACTGGCCCTAGAGTCAAAAGGACTTGAGTTCAAATCCAGCTTCAGATATTTCCTAGTTGTGTGACTCTGGGCAAGTCACTTAACTTTTGTCTGCCTCAGTTTCTTCATCTGTAAGACATGGATAATAATAGCATCTGCCTCCCAGGGCTGTTGTGAGGATCACATGCAATAATAAGTATAAAGTGCTTAGGACAAAGCCTGGCACATAGTAAGCACTATATAAATGTTAGCTACTATTATTAGTTATTATTATTGATGGACCCCATGCTTTGCACTGTCTTCTGTGCTGCTCCTTCCACCTCCTTCTGCCCAATCTCTTGCAGTTGCTGCCATATAAGACTCCTGACCCATGGTCAGAGTCCTGGGCCTGCAGCTGCTTCCTCAGGCCTCTCAAAGCTATGAACCCTTGAATCCTAGGCACCTACCATGCCCAGGTCTTTGAGTCAACCCATGTCTGTACCTGCCTTCCAGGTCCTAGCTCAGTCTGACCCTACCTTTCCAATCCCCTCCCTCAGGCTCTATCCATCTTGTCCCCCCGGGCCCTCATTCAGCCTGCCTTTGCCCTCATTGCCTCTGCCATAGCCCAGCTCTTGGAAAGAGGTAAACAGGGAGAGAGAAACTCGTATCCATCCCATTGCCACAGCAGCCAACCAGATATGCCAGAGTAGGGAGGACCTGGGTCTTTATGTTCTTCATGTGCCCCTGCCAATTGTCTTATGCACCCTTGTGTGGCATGGCCTCCACTTTGGAGACCCATCGAAGGTCTCTGACAGCCCCATCACTTGACAGTTCTAAGAAACAATGGGAATACTACCCACCTCCTTCCCCTTCCCTCAGTCATTAGTTATGGGTGTTATTAGTCCATGCATTTTAATTTTATACACACAGCTCCCCACCCCAATTGGAACTGTCCCAGATGCCTTCTAGAATTAATGACCAAGTAAGCCAAAGATATCACCAGGTGAAAAACCTAGTAGGAACATTCAATGTCTAGCCTGAAACTTCTAGTTGTAGCTTGTATGTATGTATAGTCCTCCCAACTTGAGGAAGGGAAAAAACACCACACCAACAAATGGGTTTGTACATGCCCTAGATGCAGTTCACAGGCTTGGGAATCAGTCCCTAGTCTCTGTATTCAGAGCTGAGTGTCATAAATCCTCCCTCCATGGTTATAAGAGTGGGGGGTCCTTGGTTATTGGAGACTACTTAGTGGTCTTTAGGAGCTAAAACACACACACACAAGATACGTGTTCCTATGGTGTATCAAGAGACCTCTTCTTTCATTATTTTTATTAATATAGGTGTTCTCTCTTTTAAGATCCTTCCCAGCCCCTCCATACCTTAGTAGACAGGTTTTATGACCTGCTAAGGCCAATCTGACTGACTATAGTAGGTTTCCCCTGAACTTACGATGGAGAAAATGTTAATAAGGCTGATTAAACTTAAAAGTATGTCTTGCATACACATTTCCTCCCCTCAACCCCCACTCCCTTCCCTTGCCCTAGAGAGCGGGTTATTAAACATTTACTATCATGCCTCTGATAAATGGTCACTTCCATACCACCACAAGGCACCAGAGAATGGTATCAGTAGAAGCTAATGCTTCTTATTCTAGGGGTGATAACTTAAGAAATAAGATACCTTTAAGGCAAAAAATCTTTTGGCATGTTATAAGGGCTAAAAACACACTCAGAAGGAGAACTGAAGCTGCATTGGTTTTCCTTAGCTCACAGCCAACAGACCCTTCCACTTACAGGAGAGGGAATCATTGCTAATGGTACTGTGAAAGCAGTATTAACTCCTCCTACTCATCCTGCTACTTTTCTTCTTCTATTCTCCGTAAATATAATTCAGATTCTCATTCAGCAGGGCCCAGCTCCATTCCTTAAGCAGTGCTACACGCTATATCTAAGCATTTTTAGCCATGTTCTCTGGAATATGGTTATCTTCTTTTTTTTAAATTAATTTATTTTGATTTATCAACAATCACTTCCGTAAGCTTTTGAGTTTTACATTTTTCTCCCCTTCCCCTCCCAAGACAGCATGCAATCTGATATAGGCTATACATATACGTTCCTCTTAAACATATTTTCACATTAGCGATGTTGTAAGGAAGAATTAGAACCAATAGGAGGAACCATCAGAAAGAGGAAAGAAAACTCAACA